TAAGTGGCATAACCGCCGTGGCATGCCCTGTTTCACGAGTTTTGGGTTATTTGAATAATTATGCCTATTATTTTAAACTTTTATACGGGCTACACTTTAATTTATTTTTTCTTTCCCCTTACATGACCCAACCATAAAACCACTATTATTACCAGTCCCGTAAGACAGAATCTTGGGGCTAGGGACATCTAATTTTGCTGGCCAACTTTACAATTACCAAACGTTGTTACCTGGCGATTCATTTAGCATGCACTGAATTCGGACACAACGTAAAACCCAAACTGCCTCATTTCACGGCCAAAAAGCCGGTAATCTGACAGAGACATGCGGTGTAGGGGAACAGCTAGTCAGCCGCTCGTCTTCCAATGTCTTGGTAGAGTGAAGAAAGGGCTGACGGCATGTTTAAAAAATTCCCGCGTTCGCGAAGTAGGAGATCCCCAATATTTTGAGAGAGTTGCTACAAGAGTTCACCAATTGCGGTTATTTAGCTACTCAAAGATATTTTTTAGGGATCTATCGTACAATCCCATTAACCACTCTTGCCGTTCTGTTCGGTTCCGACTGCACTTCCGGTGTGAAATAAAATTGTAATCGATTTGTACTTCCACGCCCAGGCCACTAACTGTGTTCTCTTCTAGCAGCGGCGCATCTGGACAAACATTTCGATAAATCGAATACCATGACAGTTTCGAATTCCGACGAATTTAGTCATTTAGGTCTTCTAGACACACCAGTGGAATTCAACTATTAAGCATTGGATCATATTCAACCCTCCCGTCAACCTCATAAGCCTACAACAGAACCGAAGAGAAAACGGTCGATACTCTCCTGAGAACTTCTCGCCAGCAGCCTTACGAGATCTTCCAATCTACGAACGGCTGATTCGTTTCGCTTTATTTTTATACTCTCGTTCTCGTTACAAAGTTCCTGCCATAAATTTAAAGTTTATCTTTTGCAATCTAATATTGAAATCAAAAACAGTCTTCGAGTCTTTGTGCGAAACTTTTGGTGGGGCCGGGAATCGAACCACTTCACTTGGCAAAAACGAGACTCCAACCTTGTCACCATATGGTCCATATTGTCCAGCAAACTGCGCCGATACCACTGAGAAACTTTAGCACGCTGAATACGTTGACTTAAATCTGTATAATTAAATAATAACCAGGCGTACTATGCATGATTGCGATTCTTAAAGTTATTTAAAACTCCTCTCGCTAAACAGATCAAAAGTAAAATAGGTTTAAGGGATGTAAATTATGAAGATGAGATCTGAACATCATGCTGTACATTAATGTACAGCATGATTCGAACATTTGTGAAGAAATTTCTTCACAAATGTTCGAATCTCGAGAAACAGATAAAAAGGCTGAAAATGGAGATGGAGAAGTTGAAGAAATCTCTTCGCTTTCTTTATCAAGAGAATAAATTGGCGGTGTCTGAGCTTGAGAGAAGCATATAGACTTATGTAAACGCAGCTTCCCTGACCGAAGCATCAAAGTAGGAAGGTGAGCAGGAGTCGCGCAATCGGGCCGCGAAACTAAAAGCTATTACCTCAAAAAGCTTTGCTACTTCGCCAACCAGCGGACCCGCAAAACAACCCGTTAATCACCTATAACAAAAATCCTCACTTATTCTGGGAGGTGATTGCACATCTCCACTTCCTAGTAAAGTCATCTCGGATAGGGTGACCGAGCAAAAACATGGTAGTAGCTATGCTAGTTCTGTGTAAAATCATTGAAGCAGACCACAAATGCAGAGGGAAGCCAGTACAAATCCAGTATATCACACACGAATGTGGACTTCAGAACACCTTGCTCTAAAGACTGCCGTCCCAACATTCGAAAGAAGCCTACCTCTGGCGCAGGTGGGGCATTACAAATGTCACCCACAAATCGCAAACGGGATATTGTCATAAATGGTGCTTCAGAGTCCACGTCAGTTAGTACAACGGAACCAATGGCGCATGATTTAAGTCACATTTATTAATACGCCAGTGCGGTCTTGAAGGATGGGGACATTTTCACCGTTAAAAAAGCTTTTCGATTTGGCAAAGCAGACCCAGGCCGCGACTTGCAAACAAACCCAAGGCCTCTTAAAGTTATTTTAGATAACGAAGCTCAGGCATCGCACCTGCTAGGGGGAAAATCGGCTTTGCGAAGTTTGCACAGTCAAGTGTTTTTTTCAGCCAGACTACAAACCGAGAGAGCGGCTGAAAATGAGGAAACTAAGAATAGAATTGAGGGAGAGAATTGGAAGCGGGGAAAGGGCCTGAAAATAAGCGACGGTCCAATAATCCAAGCCAAGAGGTCTTTCCTCTGGCCAAAACCTCTCACGATGGGGAAACGATCACTGAAGGTCCTATGCGCAACCGTACAAAGCTTGTTCAACAAGCTGGACGAACTGAAAAACGTGGTTTCTGAGGTGAAACCAGACATTATGGGTTTCACTGAAACCTCGTTTTCGACAGATATCACCGATTCCGAATTATGACTTAGAGGATATCAGCTTTTCAGGAGAGACAGACCAACTAGGGGCGGTGGAGTTATGGTCCATGTCACTTGCAAGCTGATAGCCATGGCTGAAATACATATTTCAGCACGAGATGTGGAAATTTTAAGCATTACTACATTTGTTGAGTATGGTAGACCACTGACGCTTTGGTGGCATATCGATCGCCACGTCAGGCCACTGACGAAGACACTACCCTCATATCGGAACTATAGAAGGCCAGTGAGAAGAAAGACATCCTCATCGTTGGGGATTTTAACGCTTCTGGGATTGATTGGCAAACATGGACTGCACGTAGGCCTCCAGATAACTTCAATCGTAAACTACTACAGTGGGCCACAGACAAACTTCTTTGCCATATCGTCATGTTTGGAACACGAGCCAGGGAAGGAAATCAGTCGAACTGTGAGCCTTATTTTTACGCGAGGGGAGAAAGCTGTGATGGACCTGCAGAATCGACCCCCATTAGGGTCAAGCGACCACATTATGCTGTTCTTCGAGTACTCGCTGTTTTCCAAACCCTACCTGCCTGGCCTGTGGGAAGGAAACATTTGGAAGGGTGATTACCCACTTATGAGAAGAGAAATGTCAGAGGCATTCGGGGAAACAGAACTTCATGATCGATCAAATAAATAGTGGAGCACCTTTAGCTCGACACTTAAAAAATTATTTACCTCAACTGTCCTCCCAGAAGAAAGGCAAAGACAAGTCCCCAAAGTGGATGAGCACAAATTTGCAGGCCACTTTCAAAAGAAGAAATCGCATTTGGAGGCGTTACAGACTAACCGGCTCCGATAAACACTTACGGGGATATAAGCAGAAACGTAAAATTTGTAAAAGTGAATCTACTAAGCTGCGGAAGAAATACGAGCTGAACATACTAAAAAACTCGTTGGATAACCCAACAATAACTTATGGCTGTATACGTAGCACAAACAGATCTCAGGAGTTGATCCCTGCCCTAAGATCTGCAGTCGGGCAACTGGAGACCGACGACCAGGTGAAGGCATCCCTTCTCTCCAACTTCTTTAGATGCATGTAAACCCGAGAGTCTAATGCTCTTGCTGCTGGTTCGTCAGCCCGTCAGCAGATATATCCACCGCTACCTTCCTCATCCCCAAATAGAGGAGCTAGCATTTTCAGAGGACCTGGTCAGGGCCAAATTGCTCTACCTTAAGCCTGCCAAATCATATAAGCCAGCTAGAATTCCTGCACCCGTCTTACGAGAACTAGCTAACGAACTGTGCATACCTATATCTGTCATCTTCCAAAGGTCTTTTGACGAAGTTGAACTCGTGGAATAATAGAAATGAATAAGGGAGATTCATGACTTGATTGCGCAAATTACCGTCCTGTAAGTCTAACTTGCATCGCATGTAAAATAGTGGAGCGCAGTATCAAAAGGAATTTAATGGGATTCCTGGAAATAAACAAAACATTGTGCGAAGATCAGTACGGCTTTTGTTCTGGACGCTCTTACCTCACGAGTGCTCTTTACTCAAATGAGAAGTGGACAAGGGCCACAGAAAAGGGCTAGCCAATTGATGTCATCTTTTTCGACTTCACGAAAGCCTTCGATAATGTACCGCACCGGCTTCTTTTACAGAAGAGGTAGGAGTGTAAATTCAGGGAAAAATGTTTAAGTGGATCAGCAGTTTCTTGTCTTTCAGAGTGCAGGTGGTTGCTGGAAACTCAACCTCGGAACGGACAAAACTAGAAAGTTATGTACTACAAGGCTCCGTTTTCGGTTCGCTACTCTTCCTAGTCTACGTAAGCGACTGCCTCAACGATCTAGATTGTATGAATGTCAAGTTTGCGGATGACATCAGGATATGGGTTGAAGTTTACTGTGCTGACGACGCAAAGAAGTTACAATCGAACATCGGTAAACTAGTTATCTGGTCGTCCAAAGCTCGCCTACTCTGGCATCCCGATAGCCGCGGCAAGCCGGCTAACCGACAGGTGTTCCGGCAAAGCGTGGCGACCCCTAGGTTCGACCTAGCAGCTACTCCGATGGCCCCTTTTCTCCTGCGTTCCAAAGGCCGCTACAAGCTCGGTAACTAACAAGCGATTCACCAGAGCACGGTAGCCCTCAGACTCAACTTCGGCTTAGTCACGCCTGCAGCCAAAACAATCTTACGCGTCTGCTTTGTCTTTCATGACCCTTCGTGGTTACGCGCCCCTCTGAACTGACCAATCACACACTCGGCATTAACTCCCGCCAGCTGACTTGAACAACGACAAACGCATAAACAGCACACCGCTGCTAACAGTCAACTTTCGGCAAATTGCCTTGTGTACCCAATAAATCGCTCACGACAGCGGATTGCCTTTTCCTATTAGACGGAACAATCTCAGTGTTTGTGGTTACAGTAGATCGTTCATGCTTGACCGCAACAAATTGGTGACCCCGAAGTGATTCAACCACGTCATCACCGGAAATGGCTGAGCAACCTACTTACGAAATCCCCACTCGACTTCACCATACTATTTTCCCTGCGTCACTCAAC